TATATTTTGTTTTCTTGTATTTTATCGCTCTGCTGACCCTTGGGGTCCATTTTATTTTGGTATACCTTTTCTAGGTACGTTAGCCTGTGACCACGGAAATTGGCCGAGTCAAGTGATGGATTAGTACGGAGAGATTGAGACAGAAGGAGGTACTGGATAGAGAGACCGGGATGGTTTTTAATGTGAAGACAACAAGAACAACAGAGAGAAATTGATCAAGTGGCCTGCGGGTGGTCCACGAAAACTACCACGTTACCTGTTCTTTTCTTTCTATCATTTTGTTTTCGTTTTCCAAGTGGGTTGTACCTTATTTTTGCTTTGTTTCCCCGCGGCGTTGTATGTTCCGGGTTTTGAGACCACGGGCTCCCCATCTTTTTTTTGTGGACTAGACTATTGAGCTAGTGTGAGAAACAACAACATGAATTGTCCACCTACATGTCATGTATGTCCAGTACTTCGAAGTACTTGAATTTGTACTGCAGATGACTCTAATAGACAGCGCGAATAGCGATGCTCGTGGCATCCTTGACGAAGTCGTAGCGGTGACCATTCGCACGCATGCGTTCATCAGCCCGCCGTCGTGAGCGAACCTGTTGAGAATGCCTGGTGCGGCGAGGTTGCGCGCCACATCCAAAGATAGATCCGTTCCGAGCTATTTTCAATGCATTTATTTTGTTCCTCCCGCCCCGTTCTTTTTTTCACCTCCGTTTTTTTTTTGCGGTAACCATAATGGTGGGTGAGTAGACCATGTTGTGCGGGGTCTAGAACCCTCACTCCGCGCAAGGGGGATGATCGCACCACGTTGTGTTAAAATGGTCAAGCACCCTCGAGGCAGTTACTACATAGCAGTGCTTACAACTAACTAACTGCCTCTGGAAGTCAAAGCACCAGAAAATAAATTAAGTCATACGCAGCTGTCATCCGTTCACAAGGAGGTAAGCACAAGATGCCGAAAACTCTTACTTTGCAGGATGCAGCGCACCCTTCATGCGACTTGCCGGATATCTCACGGCGCTTCGCGCTTGGTGATGTGAGAGCCTGGTCCGGTGAGAACCCGGCGTGCTCCGTCCCGGCTTTGTAGGGATGCGAGGTCAATGGTCTAACGACTACGGCATGCACGACTATATGAGTACCCCGCCCCCGCCCCCCCCCGCCCCCCCCCGCCCCTTGGTTGCCACGATGGGATCGGCGGAGTCGCAAAGAACGCCATGAATAAGAGGAGGGAGAGATTTGGCGAGCGAATCATGGGGGCGGACGGGGTGGTCACCTTGTTGCGAAGTAAAAAACGACAAACAGCACTGCTGTGGACTCCAAATGTAGCACTCAACACGCAATCACCCAATGCCCCCTCCTCCACTTTGCCAGGTCACCTTCCTCCTTCGGTCTACGTACTTCAAACGAACAAATAGCGCGGTTTGATCGCGAGTGGTACACACAAACCTCTGCGTGATTCATTTCGTGTCGATGTTGGGGGGGGGGGTTCGTTCAAATATCCCCGTATTAAGAGGCTCGTCGGAGATCGACTGGAAACCTTCCGTAGATGACAGATAATCGCGCCGCGCCTGTACACAACATCAAGAGCAGCAACCCACAGCAGGCCAGCAGCTGAGATGGACGCCGACGAGGAGGGAACGAAGACTATGCAAGCCGTTAAGCTCCCGGAACAAGCTCTAGAGCTCGCCTTCCACCCTCATCGGGACGTACTGGCCAGCGGGCTCGTAAATGGCAGCGTTTGCCTGTGAGTATTTCGTGGTGGATCAGGCCGCCGTCGCGTGGTATGTTTCGAGACAGCCGTAGACGAAAAATAAACATGCGCTCCGGGATCACGGGCGCTTGCCATCCTCTGGATCGAGACCTTGTGTTTTCGACTCTCCGAACTGATTTTCAGCTCCGGTTGGAAGTTGGTTGATGCACCCTCATGGTTGAACTACGACTGTTGCGTTGACCTTTCGACGCTCCGACAACAAGCACAGGCGTAGCATGTTCCAGTATGTGCTGCCTCGATAGCCGTACTCTCCGTACCTACTGTAGTACCTCGGCAACGTCCTCTCTGTTGCGGTCCTCGGGCCGGCATGGCGTCTCTGACGCATCCATGTTAGGTGTATCATTCGATTAACCCAGTGCACGAACATATAGCACAAGGAGACACGCCCCTGCGTAGCCCTGTCGAGACCGCCGGAAACAGCAGTAACAAACGCCCGAGGGGTGTAAGGCTCCAAGAGACTCAGCACGACATCAACCTCTGCCGTACGAACCTGCAGCTTGCGCCGGCACGCGTTGCCTCTTTTTTTATCTTCCTCTGTCTGTCTGTCTACAGTAGGGGGCCCTCTATAGTGCCGGTATGTGTTCAGAGAGCAAAGCGGCACTATACCGGGCACCGGCACTATTCAGAGTACAGAAAGACTTGATATTCCGGTGTGTGCGAGCCGAAAACACCGGCACTATACCGGCAACCGGCACTATTCAACCGGCACTATATCGGGCCACCCACTGTATCTGTCTGTCTGACTGACTGTCTGACTGTCTCTCGTGACTGCCAAGGTGCGACGACCTAATACATATTGTCAGTCTGGGACAATTTGTTCCGTCCGGCGCTTAGGTGCACTTTTCTCTACACACAGGTGGTTGTTCCGAAATCCGAAAGTACCGTCAAACGCCCTGTTTCCAGGCGCATCGATCTATGGAAGGCGATTTTTATTTTTTTCTCCGCTTCTCCGTTATTTACAAATATCCCGTATTGTTGGCATAGTTTTTCCTGGGGTGGGTATTTGTCACACCTTTTGGACAGCTCTCAAAATTCCCCAGGTGGTTTTTTTTTTTCCGATTT